ATTCAGTTCATTCACTCCCTAGCCACTCATTCTTTTCATTATGTTTACTCCCTAGCCTTTCTTTTTTTTCACTTGACTTCCTAGCCACTCATTCTCAATGAACTAAATTTTTTAAACAGCCTCTCAAACCGGAAGAAACAAATGGTGTAATCTTGAAATATAATATATGGATATGGAAACAGAATGTCACTGAGTTTGGAATGCAGCACATATCTAGGAGATATGTACAATATTTAGGGTTTAACATGACAAAAACAACAGGAGAAGAATACAAATTTGATACAGTCGATTCAGCTACTACAGCCTATACTATTGAAGGTATGTTACCTTTCTATAACAGTCCTGTCAATGATTGGGTATCCTTCTCCATTATCTTGCACTTGCACTTGAATAATACAGCAGATTAAAATGACATAAAAAATAAACCACTGTACAGAATTCATTATTAGCTTATTAAAATGATCTGTCTAGTCATTGTCGTTCTCGTTGTTAACTTGTTTTTGACTCCTGTGTGCAAAGCACACAATGGGAGTCTTTGCAGTTATTTAGTGCTTCTGTATGCGTGCATGTGTGATACCGATTTTTGACAACAGAACCTACATTGTAATGACCCTCACTATTTTTATAATTAAATTTAATATTGAATCAAATTAAGTCAAATTTGCATAGCTTAGGCTTAGTAAAGGGGAAAGATATATTTATATTAATATTAATATAATTGTACCACACCTTCCCCATTTACTAAACCTAAGCTTAGCATGGGATATTCAAATTTTATTTAATTAAACTCCAATTAAAACGCAACCTTATAAAGGAATGCATTTTAATTGAGTTCATAGCGCAACTATATTAAAAGTTAATCGTCACAACATTAAATTACTCCTTATTTGTGCATAATTCCTCCAATACCTTCAGCACACAGGAGTTCTTTCTAAGCTTATTTTGATTTGTGGTTACAATAACTCAGGCAAACAATTCTTATCCGATCATCTTCAAATTTGAGCTCAATCGACAATTTTTTGAGTTCTGTCATTACCATAGAAACTTGCACACGCTAGTGTAAAAACGTTCCAATTTTGTCTGTATGTTCGATAGCTCATCAGAATGCTGAGAAACCAACAAATAAATTGTGCAAGCAAGAAAACCAACCCCCCCTTCACGTACAGAAACAGAGTGATGGTGCTATCATACTCATCTTTTGAGTTATAGTTAAAAATATTTGTGAAAAAGTAACTTAAAATTGTCTTCTCGTGGTTACAATAGGTCAAACAATTTATATCTGATCATCTTCAATTTTATGTTATACCGGTATGTGAGAAAGTTAATTAATCATAAAATAAAATATTTCCTGGGCATGCAGAAATAAAATTTAATTTGCACTGCTGATCATAAGAACCAGATGTCAGTAGCATACTTCCCAGGATCTGTTTCATCGATAATGCAGTAACTGGAGTTGTTGTATGAATATCAACAAGTATCTTTTCTTTTTGCCAAAAAATCAGGTCTAGTATTTTTTTCTGGCAAAATGTTGCTCAGATATATTGCTGTTACATGAACTTTTATGTAACTCATGCCAAGTAATTTATTATATACTTTGAGATTAATATATATATATATAAGGGTACACAGGTACTAGTACATAATACACCATTTTTTTATTTATATCCTCACAGAATCAGAGTAATAAACACAGTCTGGTTTGTATCTATACTAAATTCTTATTTGTCTTCTAATAATAGATTTTGAATAGGCAAGGTTGTAATAGTTTCCCCATGTTTTTATGAATGGTTTATTATATTTTCAAATTAATACAACTCAGTAATAAATCTTGGATATGTTTCATTGCCATACATCTAAGCACTAACAACAAGGAAATTTACCATTCTGTAAAAAAAACTTATCGGCGTTTGTTAATTCCAATCTGCAGATTTTACCTTATATGGGTATGTGAACAATGTTTTTCACCAACATTGAACACATTACAGATCATTGGCATCACATTCACGATACTTTCTTTTGTTTACATTGGCTTTCCATCTGATAAACTCATAAAATGTTTGATCATAATTCTGAAGCTTATTCTGAAATGAGACTTCCATTTAGAGATCTTTTGACTGCCTGTCATATTTTAGGAATGTAAAAACAGTCCTTTCACTGCTCAGCAAAAAATTTCACACAGAGCAAAACTTTTTGTATAATATTCATCAGTCAAAACAAATGCTTTGCTGCCTTCATACATATTTTGCCATATTCGGTTGATAACTTATTTTTATTGACTGCAGGTACACATGCATATATTGAAAGCTGCATCTATCTACATGTAAATGTGAAGGGTCTTACCAAACAGTTATTGCACACGTATACATCTGAAAATAATGCACACAAGTGTTTAGGGCCAGTGGAATATCTTTGATTAAATAATATACATGTTCAGGGCAAGTGAAATACCTCCAGTGAAAAATAATGCACACAAGTGTTTAGGGCCAGTGGAATATCTTTGATTAAATAATATACATGTTCAGGGCCAGTGAAATACCTCCAGTGAAAAATAATGCACACAAGTGTTTAGGGCCAGTTGAATATCTTTGATTAAATAATATACACGTTCAGGGCCAGTGAAATACCTCCAATGAAAAATAATGCACACATTCAAGTGTTTAGGGCCAGTGGAATATCTTTGATTAAATAATATACATGTTCAGGGCCAGTGAAATACCTCCAGTGAAAAATAATGCACACAAGTGTTTAGGGCCAGTTGAATATCTTTGATTAAATAATATACACGTTCAGGGCCAGTGAAATACCTCCAATGAAAAATAATGCACACATTCAAGTGTTTAGGGCCAGTGGAATATCTTTGATTAAATAATATACATGTTCAGGGCCAGTGAAATACCTCCAATGAAAAATAATGCACACATTCAAGTGTTTAGGGCCAGTGGAATATCTTTGATTAAATAATATACATGTTCAGGGCCAGTGAAATACCTCCAGTGAAAAATAATGCACACAAGTGTTTAGGGCCAGTTGAATATCTTTGATTAAATAATATACACGTTCAGGGCCAGTGAAATACCTCCAATGAAAAATAATGCACACATTCAAGTGTTTAGGGCCAGTGGAATATCTTTGATTAAATAATATACATGTTCAGGGCCAGTGAAATACCTCCAATGAAA